TCCTTCGCATCCGGCTTGGTGCACTTTTGGATCAGTCTGCGAGAGTCCATGCCAAACCTAAGTTGCAGGCGGAGGTCTAGTGTCCGAGTATTCTCAACAATGCTGATGAACCTAAAACTTCACAACAGCAGAAATGGGTTCAATGTACTAGCAACAACGATAATGACTATAATGGGCAAAGCGCAAGCTGCACAGCCATGCATGAAACATCCAATGGGCAACCGCCGACCAGAGCCATCTGGTGTGATTGCAAACATCCAACGGGTCCCAGACTCAATGGCGCCTTGCACGCAGTAGCCTCAGCGGCAGTGGGATTCTGCTTGCCTTTTTCGACGCGGTGCCGTTCCATGTCTTTTTTGGGCGCGGGCCAACGGGGTTGTTCTTGTCAGTGAGGAAGGCAGGCATCCCGGACCTCAGCTGGCATAGAGTACAGTTGCCCGGAGCAACGCGACCCTCAGAACAGTTGAGCCCGGCAACGACTAGCACAAGTCATACGGACAGCCAGAAAAACGCGTCGCATGCGAGCACTGTGCTTTGATGCTCAAGTTGTGCAGGAGATCCAAACTTCCGTGCCGTGGTTCAAAGTCGCACGGGCAGCGTGTTCTGTCAGGCCCTGGGAAGCAGGCACTTTTGTCGCCATGGTCAAATGATGGATGGAACTGCAGCCGGAGAGAACAAAACTTTGCTTGACGCTGCAAATGGCACCAGGACGAGATGCTTTGCGATCTTATTTTCACATCGCACAAGAAATCGCACAAGGCCTAGCCTACTGAATGCAACAACCAAGAAACTAATGAAGGCATGCTACTAATTACCAAATGGTTAGCTCCTACTATGCCGCAACATCTGCGAACTCTTTCGCCAAAGCTCGTCGCTGCAAAGAATGGCTGAGTCACACCTGCTAAGTTTACAGATGCCGGCCAAGCAGAAGGGCGGTTACATGAGTCCCCGAATGAAATGATTCTTGTTACCAGGAAGTATATGGACAAACTGTCCGTGGATTTCTCTTGCTTCTGTGGGAAATCTGTCCACCCTGCAGCGGAGCCTGCAGGGAATAGGTGGCAGACTTTTCAGCTCCAGCGTGTGATTCCACCCTCCATTTGCTGACGATTGCCTCTTTATGCTCCACTTGTTTTCACAGAAGTGCATGTTTTGGTGGCTGGTTTTCCACATTTGTCCGTACTGTCTGAGCCTCCTTCTTTTGACTTGATTTTTGGGGATGTGCACGTGCTTGTGTTTTGCAGCCTCTCGTACTCGCTCAAACAGAAGCCAAGATGAACCTGTTGCTTTGGGCGCAAGATGTACGGGTGTCCATTGCATAAAATAGCAAGCCAGAGGTTAAATTCGGATGGCTTGTAGCTTCCAGGTACCAAAATTGCTTTCCAAATAACAACATACTGGGTGCCGAATAGACTGCCCGGGGGAGAAAAACAAACTGGGGTGAGCTCGCCCCATGAAAACAAACAACAACGAACATAGGCCTGACAGACTCGTCCTAAAATGCAAGAACAACAGACCCAGGCGCAAAGAGCTTGCTTGAGAAGTTTTGTCAAAAACTGCCCGAGAAGCTTGCTGGGTTCGAAAGCAAGAAGCCAGGACCTGAAGAGCTCGCCCAGAAAAAACAAAAAAGGAAGTAACACATAACAAAGGCCCGACAGGCTCACTCAGTGAAAACCAAAAAAGGACATCGCACAGAGAAGACAACAAACAAGTTCACCAAGGATTGAAATACGCTCCCACTTGGTCAGCGGTGGGAGGCCGCCCCTTCCGCACTGCAGCACACTCAAGCGCCTCATGTGCCCTGTCTTGCTTTTGCTCCCGGCGCATTTCGGCCAGGCGTCCATCGCGCGAGTCGCGGCGTGAATCCGCGAATACGGAGGCAAAACCCTTGTGAGACGCGGCTTGCCAAAGATCCAGGTGGAGTTCATGCCCAAGATGTGTCCGTGAAAATGATGCATCCAGCCTCTGTGTGTGTGCAAAGCTTGGGCGCCATTCCATCTCATGCACAACAACTTGCTAGAGGTCACGCAAACATGAAGACCAGCCCAAATGAGCTTCAACAATCGCTAGCACCCTGCACAGGGTGCGGCAGTTTCTGTTGTGGCATGTGGTCGCGATCAGAATAGCTTATTGACAAAACTCTGTACGTGTACATCTGAGACACGCTGAATGCATCACATACCCAAACATGCTGCTGGACATCAAGCACATAGACCAAATGTGGTAAGAATCAGACTGCTTCTTGCCAGCCCTCAAACTCACACATGTAACCCGCAAACTCTGTCTGATGCTCGCAGGGGACATTGATGTGATAGAACCACCGCTTCCACGTTCCTTGTGGTTGCTTTGCACAGTGAGACAGTACCCCTTGGTACCTCTAGGTTGCCTTGGAGCTATCTTCGTCGAGGCTTCTCTTGATTGTGAAAGTAGGGGCCAAGAAATGGTGGTGGTTTCTCTTAGTTTCCCTTCAAACTAAAACCCAATGAGCGCATTTGCTGACAAGCAAACAGGATCGCGCACCCAGTGATTTGCTCCAAAGCCCTACAGCGTCACTGCCCTGGAGCTTCTGCTCGGACGAGATTCTTCGCATTAACCAGTGTACCGCACCCTAAGCCTGGCCGGGGCAAAATGGATTGGGTTCTGCGGCGATGCTGATTGAAAATCGACCCTCGATCGATGAACGCTTGTACTATGCAGCTGGCGCGCATCAAGCAAGCTCCACTCAAAACAAAGAGCTTTGCACCAAACAAATTGACAAATGTAGGCATCTTAGGTGTCAGAGCTTAATCCCTCAAGGCATTCTGTGTTTGCCTTCGACCGCCCCAAACCTGCCACACTCTTTTGTTCACAAAAAGACAACCCCACAGCGTCCAACCTGGAACGCAGCAAGCATTCAGCCCATCCTTCAACAAAAGCGCTGCAAAGTCAAAGGCGCTACCGAGCAGTGGTTGCCAGTCCCATCCCCCAGCCTTCAGCTCTTGGTGGGGTCACTGCTGTGGCTGGAGCGCATCGTTTTGGAGGTACCTGCACAAAACACGCTGGTGGGACAGGTCTGAACAAAACTGATGCTGCACAAGTGGATACCAACGATCACAGAACATCTCTTGTAGGGTCGTAGGCAGAGCGATACAAGTTCTTGTCTATGGCGTCTGCGCCTCGGCGAGTGACCTCAGCTTCATCAAGCCGCTCTCTCTTGCCTTGGGCTCTCTTGCCGCCCGGCCAAGTAGCGGCTGAGCGTGACTTTTGCCTGAGGCTCTGTGCGGTTCGTAAAGGACAAGGTGCTCCACCACATTAAGGCCAAAGGAAGCTGGGAAACCACATTGAACAGGTTGGCTAGATCGCACTGGCAAGAATCACGTTGACGATGCTGCGTGGTCAAGCTGCATGAACCATAAAACTGCACGCTTTGTTTTCGAGCCTGACCTTGAGGTATGAATGCCATGAAACATTGCGACATGGCCACATGTCAATGTATTTTGCTTGAACGTATTGCTTTGTCCAAACATATCGTCCCTCTTCCAACAAATCAGGGAGTGTCCGCCTGAAGAAATCTCACTGGCGCTTGCATTGGTGCATTCTTCATTTGTATTTCGCCAGGCTGCAGGACCGGCAACAGACTCCCCCAGGACGCCCACGTGGAGGATGTTGCCTGGCATGGGAAAAGAAAGCCAGTGCAACGACTGCGGCTTTGGTGAATGACTGGACTGTTGGAAGAAACTTTAAACATCCTTTTCGTGCAACTCACCAATGGCTGCGAAGCATCAGGAATTCTACAGGTGCATGTTGAAGGAACACATTTCGGTAGCAAATGCATGACTTGGCAGCATCGTCAAACCTGATGACAACTTATGAAAGCCGGACTGGTCGGATTGATCTGAGGGAGAGGGGGAGGGAGAGAGTGGGCTGATTGCATGTAAGTTGCCTCTGGTTCAAAATGTAGTAATCGTAGTCATGAACCCGAGCATGTTTTGTAAAGGCTCCAAATGGGTGTGGGGCCCAATCAATTGAAGTAAAAACCACAGAAGTCCACTATCACTACTATTTCGCCACTAGGGTTGCCTTTGTTCTGCCTTGTTTTGGCCCACCCCCATATTTATTCTTCCATTTTCGAGCTAACTCGGGAACCGGGGAACACCCCCTACGGGTTTATGCACCCGCCCTCTGCATTCGAGCCTGGACTCTCAGCAGTGAAGGGTCCGAAGCTCTCCACCCTTAGCCAAGTTCCCGGGCGGGATCCAAGCAAAACGAGTCAAAGGAACTGCTCTGTGGGTAATACACATGTACTGTGTATAGCGTATATGGATATGCGTATGTATGTATATATATATATATATATTATACGTATGTAAATATGTGAATACACCTAAATACAAGTATGACATGTGTCAAAAGGTTTCGCCCGCCCAATCATTGCCTTTTTTGCTGACTGTTAAGACCCAGCCCTAGGTTGAAAGTTTTATATCAGCGTCAACCGGCTGCATTCAGCCACATATCAAGCGGCGCAGCCTGATTATCATGTGATGCCATGAATCCAAATATTCACTGCTTCTACAATTGGACAACAACTGGGCAACGCAATTTCCAAAAACTACCCCTGGGTATGATGCCCCCTCTCCAAGTCCACTCAACCAACAGCAGATCCAGGCCCTGACGTCTGCAAATCATCACGGAGCACCTCGCTGCGAAAAGCCCCAACCTTCTCAAGTGGACGCTAGAAAAAGAAGAACACGATGTCACCAAAACTCCAAGCTTCCCAAGCTTCACCTATTTGTGTTTGTTTTGTAGGTGTGGCAGTGGAATTGTCGGCTTTCAGTTCCACACAATCCTCTCCACATTCGAACACAAGCCAGAAACTTAAAGCGGCTGCCATGCCTGCCTTCACATGGAACTCTTCCCCAGCCTGGCAAACTAAACGCTTACGCTTCTGAGGTGGCAGCGCTGCAACAACCTGTGCACCTTTTCACACTTGAGGAGGGGGTGAACGAAAGCTAGCAACTGTTGTGTGAGACGGGTCGGAAACAGACTCGATTCCACGGGTAGCTTGCGCGCCATGAGATCCTCAAGAAGCTACACACAAACTGACATGGTGGCCCGGCAAACCGTGAAAATCACCTCTCAAGCCGACTTAAAGCACCCCCTGGGTTCTGCATGTGGCTTGCGCACGGCTTCCTGCAAGGTGCTTTCCTGAGAAGACTGAGGAAGACCACGAAAGTAGATTGGGATATGCAGACCGGATGCCCTGGAAATGTGTTTCTGGGTCTAAGTCAAGGCTGGGGGGGGTGGATCAGGGGGGATTCGAGCCCGGGAAGGGGGAGGGGGCTAAATAATTGATTCTTGCAATCTTTCTGGCTCAAATAATTAATAAATCAATCTTTCGGCCTTTCGGCATTTCAGCCCCTTACCTGGCTTACGCAAGGAGAAACTTTAGCTAGCTAAAGCTAGCTTTCGTGAAAAGAGCAGCAGAATGGAATGTTCTGACACCACCCCCGCAAGGCTGCGCGGACTATCTTTGACACAAATCGCGATGGTACTTATGTCACACACACAAATCGCACACGAGCGTTGCGTACACGCAAACTCGCAGGCACGACCGCCACCAGCAGGCTGAAGTGCCCCTCCGGCTCCACGGAGGCACAACGCTCGGCCAGGCCCGGCCTGAAGATTCCGTGCGAGTGCCGAATGGCCACCCCGAGGTGACTTAAGAACACAGAAAGTCATCTAGACATGTATGCTGGTATGCTTCACATTTGCCACATCATGACGGTATGCATGATGATTTTGCGCCGCATCGTGAAGTGCCTGATCTCTATTTCGCCCCTTCGCCTGTTGGGAGTGGACCGGAGTCTCGCGATTTGCAGGATGAGGTTGCTTTCTCAAGGGAAGTTTAATGAGTGGCAACTGTCATTCTATTTCGCTCATGCAAGCCAGTCGCTATTCTTTGCACGGCTCCGCCTCGTTGGCTTGGCACTCACAATGGCCACCTCTGCAGTGTGCAGGCGTCCCAACACCAGCGAGCACACCTGGCGGCCAGGCAGAGCAGCGGAAATTGCTCGCGCACTCTCGGTGGAAGACGTGCGATTGCCCCGGCACTTGCCGTGATACTTGAGCAACTCAGTGGGCCTAGGCCTTAAAATGGCCACGCATGAAGGGAACAGCGCACGTTCTTTCTTGCAAGTTCAAGCGCAAGGCTTGGCAAGGCTTTGTTGCCCATGTGCCCGATGCCTGCCCCTGCCGCACACCAGGAAGAGAGAAGACCTGACCAGAAGAGGGCCGGGCAAGGCTGTGCAAATCGGCGAGAGCAGCGTGCTGCACAGCACAGGGATTCTCCCAGACTGTAGTGAAAGAAAGGCCAATTTGGTGTTGCTATGTGTTGCTCTCCACCCTTGCCCCGCAGACTCACCTTGGGAGCAGCAAGGCAACTCCAGCAGTTGGCTGCCAAAGGCAGGCTGATAGAGTGCTTGCCCTGGCAGGTCTCGCTGGTGGCCCGCATGCTTCGGCTGAAAAGCTGATGGTGCATGGCAAACTTGGGTATTACTCTTGAAACAGATGCCGGCTGCAAGGTGTGTCGTCCCGTTCAATAAGCGAAAGCGCGCCGATTGAACGTGAAAATGGTCGCTGCGTTGCTCCATGAGTGCAAGTGCGCTGACTGAACAGGGAAACGGACGCTGTGTTGTTCATTAAGTGCAAGTGCGCTGACTGCATATGCAAACGGTGTCTGTGTTGATTGATATACGGCCGACTGGTATTTCTGGTCAAAAACGCTGCCTCCTTCTCTTTGTGCTGGGACGCATCCTGCCAAGGCGAACCTGAGAGCCGCACAAGCACTCTGAGAGCAAAGTTCTGCATGGGTCAGGCCTCGGGTGGACCTCTCCAGCTGCTTTTGCTCAGAGGCCAGGATCTGTCACAAGTCATGACGTGGTGACTGCAAGTGGCTTACCCCCCGGGAAAACGGGAATTCGCGCACGAAGCAAATTGCTCAGATTCTCCCCCGCAGGCGGCATTTTGCAATTTGTTCCGGTCTGCCTCCGGCATGCACCAACACTCATGGCTCACTCCTAGCGTCAGAGTTCTACCACAAAGCCGCAGCAGGAAACCTGATTCATGCCACGCCCCTTTGGCAATGCAAAGCTCGGATGAAGTCTCTGCAATCGCTCGAGTGGCTATCAGGCCAGTCGACTCTCTGCGAAGCCGCACTCTCTCTCTCACGGCCAGCTCCACCCCTGAGCGGTGGGAGCTGTCAGCTCCGAGATCTTGGACAGTCGCCGACTGTGCCTGCCAGAAGGAGATCTGCACCGCCTGCTCTTGCGTCGGGAGGCCGTCGGCAGGAGGCGTTTCTGTCTGAGAGCCCAAGTTTCCTGGCGTCCTCCGGCGGATGTCGAGACTTACAAAGCCTCCTTGTCCATGATATCAAGTGGCCTGTCAGGATGTCACGCTCTTTTCGAGCACGCACTTTGGCGAGAAGCTAGCCCTGCCTTGATCGGCACCAGCTCATAGATCCGGAAATTTTCATCCAGCTCCCTCACGCAGGACTCCGAGAATGAGTAGCCAGCCTGCCGCCAACGGAGTGTCCCCAAAAGGATCCATGCCACAAAGAGAGACAACACTCGCTTCTGGCAGCCATGCCAATTTCGCTTCCTGCAATGCGCCTTCTGCATGCAAGCAAGGAAGTCTGGAACTCCAGCGCGGCGGTCCTGGCGACCGGTGCCCCTTGACAAGGCTCCACCAAAGGCCGTGGCCGATCAACAAATGGCCATGGGTCAAAACCCCGTACCCCCAATAAACATCCCAATCCCCACTAAAATAGACTAAAATGGAGGTGCATCTACCCCAAAATGGTACCCTAGGTTTTAACCCACAGTCAAATATCCGGCCACCAAGGAGCCTCCGGCGCGACCAGGAGAAGCGTGCCGCCTGCCGCCAGGATGCCCAGGGCGCAACGTGCCAGGGCGCCACCAAAGTGGCCATAGACGGTATCAGAGCTGACGACCAAATCCGCCCGCTCCTGGCATGATTTGGATATAGGAAAAGCCCAGTCGCGAGCTGCTCGTGACCCCCTGACATGGTCTTTGGTGCCATGTTTACTGCTTTGATGTGGATCCTCATCAAGGAACAAAAAAACTCACAACCCGATGCTTTGGCACATGCCACTAGCGTTAAATATAGAAGTCGCAGCCCGGACAATCTGCCACAACCCTCCCTCCCTCCCCCTCCCTCTCCCTCCCTCTCCCTCCCTGTCCCTCCCTCTCCCTCCCTCTCCCTCCCTCTCCCTCCCTCTCCCTCCCTCTCCCTCCCTCTCCCTCCCTCTCCTCCCTCCCTCTCCCTCCCTCTTCCTCCCTCTCCCTCCCTCCCTCCCTCCCTCCCTCCCTCCCTCTCGCTTCGCCTCTCTCTCGCTTCGCCTCTCTCTTTCGCCTCTCTCTTTCTTCGCCTCTCTCTTTCTTCGCCTCTCTCTCTCTCTCTCTCTCTCTCTCTGACTCTCTGACTCTCTCTCGCTCTCTCTCTCTCTCTCTCTCTCTCTCGCTCTCTCTGATCCACCAACATTAGTTGGAAGCAGCCTGCAAGACTTTCTGACCTGCCCGTGGTTCAGTTACGAATCGCTTGCTGGGTAAGGATTTTCGGTCGGTCTGAGAGTCCAAAGAAGACCTCTCGAAACCACCTCTCCCCTGAAATCGTTGCCAGAATGTGCATGCCCTTGATGTTGACTCGCTGTCCCAACCTAGAAACAGCTCCATCTGCATCTGAAGCCCGGCGCCTCTTCCGGCCAGCTTTCAGCATCTTGCCAACGGAGCTGCTTCACAGTCACCTGGCAGGGCAACTCGCTCAAGGTTTGACCCGGGAAAGGGCCAACTGCGCCTCTCTGTCCGCGTCCCACAAGTGCAGGTTCGCTTGGACGTTGTGTTGCAGGTTCCCCACCTGCATGCGGCCATATGGTGCGCCGCTTCAACGGCACAGAACTCACTCCGCGAATGAACCGCGCGTTCTTGAAAGCTGTAAAATATTGGCTCTTGAAATGGAAGCCAAAGCATGAGACAAACTTGCTAGTGCTCAGCACACACATTTCAACATTGAAAAGAATCTGACCATTGGTTCCCTGTCCCCCAGCACAACGCCCAATCACCTGCACGACTGCAGGTAACCAAACCTCAAAAACGCCGACGCCGTGCGCGCGCGTCCCCCCTGCGCGTCGCCCACCGTCTCCGCGTCGCCGTCCGTGAGCACGGCGCGGGAAGCCCCCAGCGCCAGGGCGGCGAAGCCGGCGAGACCGCAGCCAGCGCCGAGGTCAGCCACGCGCCGGCCCTGAGGATCTGAGGATCTGAGGATGTCACGGGATCAAAACTGCCGGTATGTCTTTCTTTTTTCCTCTCTGCACGCGCAAGAAACTAGCCAGTAGACAGATTCTGATTCACTGATCACTATCAATGTGCGCATCTTTGAGGCTAGAGAGATTGTTTGGCAGCCGATGTATACAACCCTCTGCTCAAAACAAAGTGCATCCTCAAATTGATTTGATGAACTGTCGAACTGCTGTCCAGAGTCAATTATCCCGGTGCCTTGACCAGTTGCGGTCGCGCCAAGAGCTGCTGCGCAAGCACAGTGCCAGCGGGCCAGTGCTGGTTCCCAGTGGAGCCGTGCACGCCATCCTCTCATGGTTCGCTCTAAGCGAACACCCCAACTGAGCGAACATCCCACACAAAGTGTTAATTCAAATGCATGCGCATCCCAACAACCGGGGACAAAGACAAGGTGCAAGACAGAATGTTGCCAAGTATCGGCCAAAGGCAGCTCCCGTACAACGATCCGGAGCTCACCCTCAGCGAGCTCGCCCCGCTTCAGCACCACTTCGTCATAGAACATGTTGCCGCACGGACCGAGCCGGGAGGTAGGGCATTAAGCTCCAGGCTCGCGTGGCACTGCCGTGGCTCACATCTATGTGTTGTTTCCGATGGTTGCAACGTAAAGTCTGGGGCCGGAACAAAAAGTCATGCTGCTTGCAAAGAGAAGGCAAGTCCGGAGAGATTCAGTGCCCAGACTAAGCCAACTGTTGCAGAGGCCTGGCGTGTCCTGTTCGTCTCCGGAAGCCTTCAAGAAAGATTAGCTTCAAATGTTCATGCGCCTCTGCCACTTGCTCTGGTGAAGTCGCTGACTCTGCCTTGGCAGGACAACCAGTTCAAGACGGATATCCCAACGCAACGCCTGGCCTGCAGCTTCTCCTTCAACTCCTCCACCTGCGCCTGTGCCTGCTCAAGCTCCTCAGCCAACCTCCCGGTGGCATGGGATGGAGCAGGATGTGCCCGGAAGTCACATAATCTGAACAGCTCCCCGTGTTGTGTCAACCTGAGGCTAAATGAGGCTAAATAAGCCCCCCCCCCCCCCCCCCAACGCGTGCAATTTTGGAAAAATCGGCGTGCAAGAGCTGCGATGTGCAATCTTAGAAAAGGCGGCATGCAAGAGGTGCGATGTGCAATTTTGGAAAAGGCGGCATGCAAGAGGTGCAAACAGAGTCTTGATCACACAGGAATGTGACATGGTCTCGCCGCTACACTCCACACCTGGCGGCCTCCTGCTTTTTCTTCTTGTCTGCCTGACGAGGAAAGACAAAGTCTCTCATAGCGCTAAGTGTTTGCTGAGGAAAACCTTCCTTCCCCAACAAGCACAGATTTCAGGATCTGGCTGCACCCAGCTAGACCAAGGAAAGCTGGGTCAGACCCTGCCTTCGCAATTTCCAGCTCTTCCTGCAGTTGCCTTGCCGAGGCCTCGCAGAGACCACTGGCCCCATTCCCTTGGACAGCCCGCGCCAGTTCTGCGTGCCTTTAAGGAGGCCCACTGGAGGAAATGTGCACCAGGCCAAGCACAAGTACCCTGCTGGCTCTCTCAGGAAGAGGGCAAAAGATTGAAAAAACGCGGGACCGGCCCACTGAAAAAATCGGGAAAGCCCAATCTTCGGATCTTTCAACCTCAAAAAACAATCTGAACCCCGAAAACAGGCTTGTTTTTGATTTCCTTTTAAAACCAAGGGGTTTGCAAAAAAGCTCCCGGCTCTCCCAACTCCTTCCGCCTGCGCCGCCTCGAGCTCCAGCTCGGCCGCTGCGCGTCGCTTTTGGCCCTGGTGAAAAGCGGCCTGGTCCTGATCACCTCACGGAACTGACGGAATGGGCCGGTTGCCATACGGTTGCCATACGGTTGCCATACGGTTGCCATACGGTTGCCATACGGTTGCCATACGGTTGCCATACGGTTGCCATACGGTTGCCATACGGTTGCCATACGGTTGCCATACGGTTGCCATACGGTTGCCATACGGTTGCCAACGGATCCGGCCAGCCGAAACCGCATGGCGAAGCAAACAAAGCATTGACATGGGCTCTGGGAATCTTTCAGGGAGCTGAGGATGCGGCTGATCTCCTTGCTGCTGGGACAAGCACCAGGCAGAAGGGAAAGAACCTCAGCCCAGACGAAATGCCGCTGAAGAAAACCTGTTGCATTGCAAGCAGCCAGAGGCCTCTTGGCTGTGGAACCCGCAAATCTTGCAGTCCAGGACAAATGGCTGTGGGTCAAACCAATGCTACCATTTTGGGGTAGGTGCACCACCCATTTTAGAACCCATTTTAGTGGGGATTGGGGTACGATTTGGCTTTTGACCCATGGCCAAATCCAGAACGCCCTCAATCTGTTCAGTCATGATCTCAAGCCCCTCGCCGCTTCCCTGATCTGCTCCACTCTGGCCTGCGCCATCAACGCAGACTCACTCCCCAACGAGAGGAAGCGGAATAGACGCAAGGCCCATCCCCTGTCTGACTGACCTGCCCGACCTTGCTGTCTCACTGTCCAATTCTCCAGGCAGTCAAGTCTTTCTATCGGTTTTGGCCAAGCCACCCCTGCCTGGCGACAAATCTGTGGGTCACTGGCCAGGTGCTCGGCCACAGATCGCTCCTTGCCGACGGAAGCCAAGTTTCTTGGCTCTGCCTGTCTCGCAGTCGCCTGGCCATTGAAGCCCTCCAACAGCTCATTGATGCGGCTGAAAGTAGCTGCCTCTCCATGCATTGCGCACGCACAGGCCATAACATCCAGCAATGCGCAACGCGTGCTTCTCTGTCAAACATCTTCTCTCCCACCTTCTGCGGCTGAATGCGGAGCAGGTCCTGCACCCGAGCAGCCTGGCAAAGTGCCAGGCGCGCATCAAGCCAAAGCTTTGCGGAGCCACTACATGCCACAAAGAAATTATGTTCACATGCCAACAGTTCGAATACTCGGCATCCATGGGCTGCAAACGTACCGGGAACAAAGGGCCGCTTTTCGAGGTCTCAAATTTGACAGTGGTGACTTAAAACAACCCACAGAAGGTTGATATTGTCAACCCACAAAACAGCAAGCATGTTGGCTCAAATGGCTGAATCACAAACATCCGATGCCGAAATGACTTGAAGATCACAGCCATATTCCCTCGTGTTGCATTTTGGGCTTGGCATGCCGGAGTTGAACTTCAAGATCCAATAGCAAGGCCCAGCATCACAACCCTACTGCAACACCGACTAGTCAGAGCTGCCATCTTGAAGCGTGCAGGATATGATGCAGGGATCCTTGTAACAGGGGCACATCTACCGCGAAGCCATCAGCAAGCCACATTGAAACACAAGTGTCAACACTCCCTGCCATCGCTTGCGCCTCCTTGCGCCGTGCCTGCGCTTCAGCAACAAGCAAGAAGGCCTGCAGTGTGCCAGGGTGCATCATCCGTGAGCCCAGCAGAATAGAATGGATGCCCTCTTGACTACCACACATGGTACAACTCTGAGTCAAACATTGTTGAGATCAGGGTGTGTGGGCAACGAGGCAGACAAGTCGCGGCAGCAATACTATCAGTAAGACCAAACATGTGTTTTACCAAAATGAATTCTGTACATCGGCACAACAGTATGCGACAATGCATCGCTGATGTATAGTTCAGGGCAAGATCGCAGTTGAATGGGGATGCACAAATGGAGAATAGTATGTGCTATGGAACACTTGGAGCAGCAAATCGATAATGCCAGCTGGTGATTACAGACTCATACTCGGAACCCCAGTATGTCCCGTGCCTGAGCCACATCGCCAGCTTTTGAAAGTGCCTGCGTGTGTGCAACTTTCCAAGCACTGCGCACAGCACATGTCAACTTCAATTCCACCAACACGTGCCTGATATGCACATGCACCCGACATGAGCCCATGTCCGTGGAACGGCCTCGCGCATCTCCAGCAGGCCGGGACCCTGTGCCCAGGCGGCACAAAGCTGCCTGGCACGAGCTCGCAGTCGCGATCGCCGCCCGGGGCATTGCCCGCGTTTGCTTCTGCGTTTTGTTTGCCTCCCCTCTGACTTAGAAAAAACAGGAGTGAAACATGTGTCTTTGCTTCCTCTCCAAGCAAAAAGAAGACGCAATGGCGACACGTTCCCACCGGGAGGTGCAAGGCTTTTGATCGAAAACTCTGCTTCGGGTGATCCTGACTGAATCCTCACAAACGCGTGTCTATTTTGAGGGTGCCTTTTTTTGGTGGCTTTAAAGCAACGCAAACCACCATTTTGTGGCCCCCGCAAAAAAAAATAAAACAACCCCCCTCCCCAAAAAAATAAGCTCAGGTGATATTCCCAACAGCACCACACCCTCCCAGAATCTTCGCCGAACCTGCCCCGGGACCCACCTCACCGCCGGTTTTGCTGAGGATGCTGCCTTGTAACTTTATAAAGCAAAGCTAAGAGTGACAGCGCAATCGCGCCCTGATCGGGGCCCGACGGCACAATCGGGGCCCGATCGGGGCCCGACAGCGCAATCGGGGCCCGAGCGGGGCCCGACGGTGCAATCGTCTCCGACCGGGGCCCGATGGTCGCGTGGCAAGCGGGCTCCCACCAACCCCAGCCATCCATATGATCAAAAGTGCCGTTAGAGCCGATTGGAGATGCAGAAGATCGTAGTCACGACTATCATCATGACTGTTGGTGATGCTGAGGATACGTCGTGATGATTATCATCCGATTTGAGATGCAAGAGATGCGTGGACATGACTATCATCATGATTGATATCATCACCTTCTTCGTCATCGTCCTCATCTTTTTCATATACGTTTCAAAAATGCCGCTAGAGCCGATTGGAGATGCAGAAGACGCGTAGTCATGGTTGTCATCATGTGGCTCAACGCCGGTTTTCTTGGGGTGCGGCCTTACAACTGTATCCAGCAAAACTGGGCGACGCCAGCGTGGTGCAGCCAACGGGGCCGACTCGATCGGGGCCATCGGGGCCCGATCGGGCCATGACGGTGCAATCGGGCCCCGACGGTGCAATCGGGCCCTGACCTGGGTCGGGTGAACCTCGCAAACCGTCCTCCTGGAAGTCGTGGAACTCAGTGTGAAACTTTGTTGGAACCTTGCCACAGGGCTGCCCCATAGCTTTTGCAGAGCCTCGTGGAAACCGCGTGGAGCGTTTAAGGAACCTACCCCATAGCCCTTGCAGCCTCGTGGAGGCCTTGGAACCCAAAGCCCACCAAGTAATACTGCTGCACAGTGAGTCCCGCAGCAACGTGATCTGATTGCCACAAAGCCAACATTTCGGGCCGCGTTGTCGGAGCAAGTGAGCAAGTCAAAACAATGAAAACATTGATTCGGTTTTGCTTAGTGTTCCGCCCCTCAATTTACTTTTTTTCACGACACATTGTTTGTGGAATCCTTGTGGAACCATCCTTGCGCAGTGGAACCCTGGTAAAACCCTCGTAAAACCCTCACGGAACCTTACCTCAAACCACCCGGACCACCCCCGCAGCCCTGGCAAAACCTGGTGGAACCCTGGTGGAACTTTGGTGGAACCCTGGTGAAACCCTGGTGAAACCCTCGTGGAACCTTACCTCGCAGAACCAACCCTCGTAGAACCTTACCTCAAACCAGCCCGGACCACCCCGCAGCCCTTGCGAAACCGGTGGAACCCTGGTGGAACCCTGGTGGAACCCTGGTGGAACCCTGGTGGAACCCTGGTGGAACCCTGGTGGAACCCTGGTGGAACCCTGGTGGAACCCTGGTGGAACCCTGGTAAAATTTTGGTGGAACCCTGGTGGAACCCTAGTGGAACCCTGGTGGAACCCTGGTGGAACCCTGGTAAAAACCTGGTGAAACCCTGGTGGAACCCTGGCGGAACTCTTGCGGAACCTTACCTCAGGGCCGCCCCGGACCACCCCGGAGCCTATCTGGGCTGAGACCCCAAAGCTTTCAGCTGTTGGGGAAAAAAACCGGTTTCTACCAAGTTTGGCTCGTTGCCATCGGACCTGCCGATCACTCCAAGACCTGTCGGCGATGCTCCAGCGCCAAGAGATCCAAGGCTTTGGAGTCCACCTGCGCGGCACACTGGGGTCACTGGATTTCTGGATTTCCTGGTTTCCTTCTAGCTTCCCGTCTCAACAAGTCAAAAGGAGCACCCTCAAACAAAGAGGTTTCTATTGAAACTGCCACTTTTGGAGGTTCCACAAAGTAAAATGGAGGAAACCCTGTAAGACTTAAATGATTTCGGGTCCAGATCCCAACACATTGGATTCCGCCCGCATTTTGAGTCGTGCTTGGCTTCTGTTCGTGGGTTCCTTTCCCTGACTTCCCCGAGAGGTGAGACGCGATTCAAATGAAACACGATGTTGGAAAGCTGCAGCAAGGCTAAGCTCGCTTACTTCACAAATCGCCTGCCTGACTGATGCTCTTCCCACTGATCAGCTCCGTCACAGTTGCATCCTCCCAAAAATCAAGTGGTACTTCTAATATGCATATTGCGACAAGCAACAACTATGCTACCGTTGGCGATGAGAATCCACGTCATTCCCTTTGCAACAGCAAATGTCGATCAAAAGGATGAAACTGATGAGGATAATGATGATGATGATGATGATGATGATGATGAGGATGATGATGCTGACGATGATGACGATGATGACGATGACGATGATAATTTCGATGATAATGACGATGATGATGATGCTGATGATGATGATGATGATGGTGGCGACGATGCTGATGCTGATGATGGTGATGATGAAAATGATGTTGGTGGTGAAGATGCTGATGCTAATGCTGAGGCTGAGGCTGAGGCTGATCTGATGATGATGGTGATGGTGATGATGATATTGATGCGGATGCTGAATGGTGGTGATGACGATGATGATGATGATGATGCTGATGCTGATGCTGATGGTATGATCAAGCTGTGTGGTGATGATGATGATGATGATGATGATGATGATGATGATGATGATGATGATGATGACGACGATGACGATGATGATGATGATGATGATACGTATGATGATGCTGGTGATGCTGATGATGCTGATGCTGACTTGTAATGATGATGGTGGTGATGATCATGATGCTGGTGATGCTGTTGCTCATGCTTATAATGATGATGATGTTGGTGATGCTGCTGATGCTGGTGCTGATGTTGGTGATGATGCTGATGCTGATACTGATGATGGTTGTGATGATGATGCTGGTGATGCTGATTCTCATGCTTATAATGATGGTGGTGGTGGTGATGATGATGCTGGTGATGCTGATGCTCATTCTTATAATGATGATGGTGTTGGTGGTGATGCTGATACTGATGCCTTCTCTGCTGATGCTGATGCCTTCTCTGATGCTCATTCTGATGCTGATGGTGGTGGTGATGATTCTGATGATGATTTGGTGGTGGTGGCGGCGGGGATGATGATGCTGATGCATATGCGTATGCTTATGATGATAGAGCTGGTGGTGGTGCCGATGCTGATGATGATGGTGGTGATGAACATGATGACGATGATGCTGATGCTGATGGTGGTGATGATGATGGTGGTGGTGATGATGATGGTTGAACACAGTGGTGGTGAATTCAATAGAGGTGCCTCAGTTCAGCCGTTTCAGTTTTGCTCGAACCATTGGCAGCTGTGCCTCTGTAATGGACGCCGCCATTCGGCGCAAGGAGGGCACAAGCGCCTGCGCCTCGCGGAAATATCCACGCTTGAAGCCATGAAAGCCAGGATAGAAAAGATGTGAGTGAGGCGATGTGATGTATCACGTGGTGTCTCGCACGTGCCACTTTCGCTGACTCAGACGGTAAAAAATCGCACACACCCACCCGAAATCCCCGAAGAGCGAGACGCCACCTGCAGACTCTGATAGAAGCGATTCTTCCGCAGAGGCCGCTGAGGCTCTCCCAAAGCCGCCAGCAGCTCTGCCTGCCAATCATCAACTAACACGCAGTTAGATTGAAAAGGCAGTTTTCAACAATAGGAAGTGAAAAGAAGAACTTGAGGAGCGGGTGAACGAAAGCTAGCAGTTGTTGCATGAGATGGGTCGGTGACAGAGTGGATTCATAGGTAGCTTGTGTACAACGAGAGGCCCGGCAAGACTCGTAGGATGCGACGCGCAAACGCACATGGTGGCGTGGCAAACCTTGAAAAATGAAAACAACGAGAGGCGTCAGAAGCTGTCTTAAAGCACCTCTGGGTTCTGCATGCTGCGTGTGCAAAGATTCTTGCGAAGTGGTTTACTGAGAAGACTGAGATCTCAAATGAACAAGCTGAATCGGTGGAACATGTAAAAGTTCGTAGCACCAAGTCCAAAACGGGCAAACCGAGACTGCTGAAACACTGAGCCGGGGGGAGGGGTGGACCAAGGAGGAATCGAGCCTGAGACAAGGGGGGGGGGGAGGGGGGGGGTCTAAATAATTGATTTGTTTCAATCTTTTCGGCTCAAATAATTGAAAAAATCAATCTTTCGGCAGTTGAGCCCCTTACCTTGCTTACGCAAGGAGAAACTTCAGCTAGCTAAAGCTAGCTTTCGTGATAAAGGAGACGACAGCCGCGTGTTGTGTTGTTGAAGGACTATGAAGTAGTTACATGAAGGGCTTCTGTGATAAGGTGCCCTGTACAAGTCTCATTCAGAGTCACCAGATAGCTGCTTTTCCGTCATGCCACGTATCGGCACGTCGGCACAAGAGTGCAGCTTGTCCCTACAATGCGTGACGTGCCGCGGATCTAGAACTAGCTCCAGCGACGAAAAATGGGCGAATTCCAAGGCTGCTTCTGGCTTAGAGCGGCTGCTCTTCAAGGCTGCAAAAACAGCGAAATGAGACATGATCAAAAACCGGTATTAAAATGGTCGACCCAGAACCATGTAAAGAACTAAGAAGGCGGCCGCAGCTATTTATGGTTGGGATTGTCCCTTACCAACCTTCGTCTACCCGGATTTTGATCGTGGCTCAAATGGTTCTGAAACAGTGATTTCATTTGAACAAAAACTCCCTGAACCAGCCTTGAGCTCTGCTTGCAAGCCTTTTCCCTGTAGCAGTTTTGCCCGCACCAAGCGCGCAGGATGACCGCAATGTGGGCAGAAAGACCCCTAGACCAGAAAACGACCCGTCGACCTGAGAACTGAACATGACTCGGCAAGAACATATGGGCTGTGGCTCAAGAAAGTGGCACCAAAATGGCACCTTGGTGAATGGAACCAAAGACTAAAACCCGCGTACCCAAAGACAGCGCTTTTATTCCAAAAAAAGAAGGCTCCGAATCCAGCCACGTGTTTGGTCTTCCAATGGGTGCCCGCGCTGTCGCCATGCCGCCCCGCGGCACAACACGCACTCAGACAAAGATCGCTGCATTGTATTGGAACTCGCCAATCAATCTGATGTCTCGAGAGGAAGAACCAACCTCGGAAGCCAGCCACATTGCAGCTGCCGTTCAGCCGTGCACGCTTCTCCACAGACGTCCCACACCCGCAGACAGGAGAATATGACGAGTGTTCATGCAAAAATCAGAGTGAAGAAGCAACCCGCAACTTCTCTCCTGCCACAGGCTTGGACAAAAACGTAAGGTACCCTTCCCTACAATTTGCGACGCTGACCTGTTTGAAGACCCCATGTTGTGCAACCTACGGGGGAATCTCAGGCGCGCGCCTTGACCTGGAATGCGCCACCCACGGGCGCCCAGCCGTGGTTGGCCTTGCTCGACCGTTTCTCCAAAATTGCGTCGGCAATTTGGGTGAAAAGCAACAGCAAACTAGCAGCGGTAACATGATTGTCACATGTGGACGCCTGCGAAAGCACTAACGGCAACAGGGCCGGCTTTCCGTTGCCCCACCCCTTTCAAATTATAGTCGTGGAAGATCCGACCTGGGAAATGCTCGTGTAGCTGCCGCAGAAAAGTGCACGTTGGACCCACGCTTCGTTCAAGTGCAGCCAAGTCGGCAATATTCCAAATCGAGAGGTCCCGCTTGCGGAGGCGCATCGTGACTTGTTCTGAAGCACCTGCGGAGGAAACGAAAGGCTTCCGATGCAGCCGAGCAGTGAGAAAGTGCGTTTTTCGCTTGCTGCAACAGCCAGTAAAGCAATTGGTCAAGCCAGGGCATCCACAGGCTCCGGCAGGAAGGACCCACTTTGCATATCGGTGGAACTGTTTGAGCGATCATGTCTTGGAAGGCTTTGTCTGAACATTGACCGTGGTTTCAGAGCAGCTGGAGTCAAAAGCAAAATATGTGGCCATGGGTTGCATAACAAATGGCGATCCCATTTTGGGCTGGATGAACACCAAATTGACCACTTATTTGGCTATGAATTTTTTTAGGGGTCTGTAACGCGCGACGCGCCACAAATCCTGTTACGGAGGTCTGTAACGGAGGTCCTTGTTACGCAGGTCTGTAACGGCACAAACATTTCCTGACAAGCAGTATCAGCAGCACAATGTAGCGCAGCAGAACGAGGTATGTGATGGCTATGTAACGAGGTCTGTAACGAGGCAAAGCAAGGCGCAGGACGCAAAGCGCGCCTCCGCAGCTCCAGCTTGATTGCAGCTACTCAACGCAAGCCAAGCTGCGGCAAAAAGCAGGGTCCCTGGCCCCGGCTGGGGGTTGGGTCTGTAACAAGGTATGTAACGGCTATGTAACGAAGCCTGTAACGAGGCAAAGCGAAGCGCAGTACGCAAAGCGCGCCTCCGCAGCACCAGCTTGCTTGCAGCTTCTCAACGCAAGCCAAGCTGCGGAAAAAAGGGGGGTCGCTGGCCCGGGTTGGGGTTGGGTCTGTAACGAGGTATGTAACGGCTATGTAACGAGGTCTGATATAACGAGGCAAAGCAAAGCGCAGCACGCAAAGCACACCTCCGCAGCTCTATTCAACGCAAGCCAAGCGGCGGCAAAAAGCGGGCCCGGACTGGGGTTGGGTCTGCAACGAGGTATGTAACGGCTATGTAACGAGGTCTGTAACGAGGCAAAGCAAAGCACGGTACGCAAAGCGCCTCCGCAGCTCCAGCTTGATTGCAGCTATTCAGCGCAAGCCAAGCTGCGGCAAAAACAGGGCAGTCAAGTCACTGGCCCGGCTTGTTCATCTGAGGTGTGTAACGAGGGCGTGTAACGAGGGTGTGTAACGAGGGGTGTGTAACGAGGGGTGTGTAACGAGCCAGCTGGTTTTGTTACAGAGGTCTGTAACGAGGTCTGTAACGAATGTCCGCCGCGGCTCTGTTACAGACCCCTCAAAAAAATTCGCTGCCATTTTGATGTTCACCAGGGGTACGGGGTTTGGACCCACAGCCATGAATTTGCGGGAAAACAAGTAGTAGAGCTGGGCCTAGTCCAAATCTGCAGCTGACTCCACAGTTTGGCTTCACCCTCCTTGACGCAAACAAAGACTGGGGAGGTTTGGTCCGTTGCAGTTTGAAGAACTTCTCATGCTTCCAGCACGAATCCGACTGATGGCTTTGGTCGCGGATATTTATGTTACACTGTCGGAAGCACTGTCCCGGGCTTGAACTTGGATAAGAAAATTGAAATCCGCATCTTGCGAGTCGGGGTTCCCAGGGCGAGTAGGTCAAAGCCCATCCCCCAAGATGATGTCATGGTCCACAGAACGTGGCGACCGACGTTACGAGCCTTAGTCCCTGTGCAGCACTGAGCGTGAAGATTGAAAGGGGACAGCTCTACGGTGGAATCCAGAGGGTTTTTAAAGGCCCTGTGCCATGAGGACAAAGAAGACTCCTCACAACCTCCTGAAGCAAATACAAAATGTCCTAGAGCGAGCAAGCAAAGGGATGTGTGCAAAAGTGTGTGCAAGCGCGGGAAGAGATCCGGACAGGATTCAGACTCCCAACTCCTGAAATGTCGATTCGCAGATCCCGGAGCGCCACTGGCGCAAGCGCAAGCAAGTCGGGTCTAGTGGGTAGAGGCCTAGCAAATAACCGACACTGACCTGCAAAGTAAGACTGTTCTTTGTAGACAAGCTGTACCCTCGCTTTTGATCAGCAAACCTCTGGCTTCGTGACTGCCGCCGAGGCAGTTGGCACACACCCTGACTCTGCTCCCGCCTGCAGCTAACCTCAGTTGTGCGTTCGGCTGAGCTGTGATCTACACTGGCCCCTTCAATGCCAAGTGGCACAGCAGTTTTGCTGAAACCTGCAGGTATTGAGTTTGAGATGGCGAGAAGGCAGAGATTCTGAGCCAGCCACAAGAGTCTGGCATTGCAAGAAGGTTTCCAAGGGACTCAAGAACGCCTTTCTCGTTTTGCTTGAGAGACTGGACCAAATCCTACGCTTTTGTCTGACTCCCTGCCTTTGAGCTGCACGGGCTCCTGCGCAACTGCCGGGAACGTCAAGTAGAGCTGCGCCACCTGCAAAGATGGCCGCTCTGCAATCTCCTGAGGAACATGCACCGCCTCGGCCCCAGATCGGCCCCCAGTGTTCCGCACCAGGAAGGTGACCGTCTTGCCTCAGTCTACAGTCTGGTGCAAACCGCACCCTTGCTCACGAATGCGGAATGATCACAAACTAAGTCGGATCTATATAATTCTATATATATATATAATATATATATATATAAAGTTGATTACTTGTTATCTCTTTCTCTCTCTCTCTCTCTCTGTCCCTCTCTGATCGTCCTCTCTCTCTCTCTCTCTTACTTGCGCCAGTCCTCCTGGCTCGTCGGAAGCGTCTCGGATCAGGAGAGTACTGTACCTTAAAAGAATCTGCAATCATGAACGCATCCTGCATGTGGGCTTAGATTGAACCCAAGGAGCTCAAAGCTTGTGTAGGACAGTCCATGACCAAAGGGAAAGCCTGCAGCTGCCACAATCGTTCCAGAGAAACCCTGCACTTCATTTCCAGGTGGTGGAAGGGACATGCAAATCGCTCTGGCGGCGCAATGTCCAACTGAAATTGTATCGTGTGCAAGATGGAACGCTTGCACAGCATCA